CATGAACATAAATTTTGCACCTTGCTCCTCTCTACTATGAAGGGAGGAAGAGCAAAAACAACGTTTAGAAACCCAGCAAGTTTCAATGCGATGTAACTAATATTTTAATTGAACAAGGGTTGTATATCTTACCATCCTGATCATATTATTTGCATAAGATTAATTTTAAAGGAGTAAGTACTCGTTTACTAACAATTCTGATATTTTTTCAACTTTTTTAAAGAACAGTATATTTCGAGAAACTTTTTACTAATTTTGACAAGAAACTGAGAAATTTCATAATTGGCAGCGTTTATCCGGTAACAGCGCTCCATGCTTAGATCTATTATACGGGAGTTGAAGCTGCAAATGCCAAAAACTGGAGTGAAGAAGCAACGGAATTCGCGCTCTATTTGAGTATTGGTGTAGCTGACACAGTCAATTATGCTTAGTGTACTCGAATACTAAATCAATTTCATTTTCAAAACAGTTTAACATCTAGAATTTACATGGGCAGTTGCCTGAGCCTTGCTACTAACATTTACAGTTTTAAGGATAGGCATGGAAGCAATGTCCTAAACTGAGATATCACCGTTATGATCATAGGTTAATTTTTTTACTTTAGTGACACTGCATCTCCATGAGTATCCTGATTGAACTTCTAACCTGATTTGAGTAATATAAAATCATAGACTGAGTGATGCCCTAACAAAGAAAGCACTGTAATTTCGACACAACTTACAAATGCATTATACAAGTGAGAGAAGATCGGCTTCTGTACATAGCGCACGGATCCATTCTCCCCACTCCACCCGTCATATCTGTTGCTGTACGACGTACTTGGTCCAGCTTGTCCACATGCATCATCCTCTCTGGGTGGACTCTGTGGAGGACTGCATGCACCGTCAGTAGCAATCGTCCGTTCTGCTGAGCTAGACGGCAAAGCAGTCGGTGGCGCCGGATCCTCTTGTGTGTTACTGGGTGGAGAGGCGCCGCTGGTCTGCTGAGATGTTGGCTCCACCAGAAAATCCCAGATAAGGATCGTGTCATCGTGGGAACTGCTCACGATTTGGAAGTCATCAA